TTTTAAACTTTGATTCCCCCCAGTCATGTTCTCTTGATCTAGACTTGGTTTAATTCTTTAATTTTAATTGTACCTTTTAATGTAACCTCTTCATTTTACATCTAGGCTGCACTTTAGATAACAAATCAGTAATTTAAAACACGCAGATATTATAATGCTATGATTTTGGATCCTAGTGCATTTATAATATTTGATCATTTGTTACTGGTTTTTTATTTGTGTAGTTGTTATGCATTGGTCATGTTTAAACTTTAAGTTTGATTCAGTCTGTGGTAATTTAAAAAAAATCATTCATGGGATGTTGGCATATCTGGCTGGGCCACCATTTATTGCCCATTCCTAATTGCCCCTTGATTTGAGTGGCTTGTTAAGGACATTTCAGAAGTGTAGTTGAAAGTAAATCACATTGCTGTGGGATTGGAATTAGAAATAACAACTGAATACTGTCCTGTGGCTTCCATTTATGGGTGTAATAGCAGGACTGTTTGTTTCTTTGTCTGCCAGTGAAGTAATGAAAATAAATACTATATAATACAACAGGAAATGTCAGCAATTGATTTACTTATTGTTGAAGTCAGCATCCATAGGGTGGTCACAAGATAGCTATTAAAATATCCTGCTTTCAGATCCTTCCTTCTGTCGTTGATTCATTTGCTGTTAAGTCTTTTGGATGAACATTAAACTGAGGCCCTGACTGTCTTCTGACATGGATGTCAAAGGCCTTAAGTCATCGTTTAGAAAAAGAGTTGGGAAAGTAAAAATGCTGTCCGGGCTAGTATTCACCTTTAAATTAGCATCACAAAAGCAGATTATCCATCATTGTTCTTTATTCTCGGGCCATTCCTCATAATTGAGGCTTTATTCCAGTCTGCTGTTGTGGATCCTGCGGTGGATTTGTACACCTTGTCCACTTGACCTCTATCTGGATCTGTTCAAATGGTTGGAAACTTTGTGGAGGCTTCTTGTTTTTGCGTGGTCTTGTTTTAGAGATCCCCATGAGTCAGTGGGGATATTGCAATTTTTCAGAGAGATATTAAAGATAAACTTAAAGTGTTTTCTCTGCCCTTCTGGTAACTATTTGCCAAGATGAAGCCAGGAGATGAGAGCTTGTTTTGGAAGTTGTGTTAGGCATGCAGAGGATGTGACGTGCCTAAAATGCAGCTGATTGATTGTAACCTGTGCCACACTACTGGGGACGTTGGCCTGAGAGAGGATGCTGATAATGGGGTGCCTATCCTGCCATTGGATTTGCATATTTTGAGATGGCATCACTAGTGATACTTCTCTTCAGGTTTTTGATGGCTACTGTATATTGTTCATCTCTCCAAAGCTTACATGAGGGCTGGTAACACTGTTGCCCTGTAGATGATGAGCTTGGTGTTGGGTTTGAGGTCTTTGTCCTCAATCACTCTATTCCTCACATAGCCTTCAGCACAGCCTTTGGCTATGTTAAATTTCACTGCTAATGTTTGACTTCACTGGGAGGCAGCTCCCAAGATATTAGAAATTGATCCATATTGTCCAGTACCTTGTTGTGGATCTTAATAGTCATGGGGAGGTGATGGTGGATTTGATGGTGTTTGTGGGATTGTGTGGACTGGGCAGACTGTTTAAAGACTTTTTTTGTCTTCGACATGTTTAGGTCCATTCTTTCATGTGCCGCTGTGAATGCACTGATGATAGTTTGAAGCTTGGCCTCTGTGTGCACATGTAACAGTTGTCTGCATACTGTAGCTCTGACGGAATTGGATCTGCACTGTATGGTACCTTGGGTTAAACAGTATCTTGCTTGTCCTATTGATTAGCTCCCCATTAGCAGAAAGTTTCATGGAGATGGGATGGAGTGTTCTGGCAGGGAGGATGGTGAAGAGTATTGGTGCAATGGCGCAGCCTTACTTGACCCCGGTTTCCACACCGGATCTTTGATGGGTACATTGAAAATCACAGCTTCCACTTGTTATTCAGCAGATAAAAGACGGTAATAAAATTTTGTGGGCACCTGATTTTTGAGAACTTTCCATATCTTTCCCAGTTGATGGAGTGAAGAGATTGCTGCTGCTGCTGCTGCTGCTGCTGCTGCTGCTGCTGCTGCTGTCTGCGTGTCTGTTAAATTTGCGTCAATGTAAATAACATGTCCTCTGTGCGTCTTGATTGATGGAATCGTATTGTGCAGTAGGAGTTCTTCAGCCACTAAGAGGAGATGAGTGAGGAGAATTTTTGCAATGACCTTGCCTATGCTGGACAACAGGCAGAGTAATCAGCAGGTACTCCAGTTGGTCTTCTCCCCTTTGTTGAAGACGATCACGATTATGGCATCTTGAGGATCCACTAGCATGCTCTCCCCTCTCCAAATGAGGGAGATGAGATTAAGTATACAAGCCAAGAGTGTTTCACTGCCATTTTTTAGTATTTCAGCACTGAATCCAGTGGTGTGGGTCCTTGGACCGTAGATTGTCATAACCGTGCCGAAGAATCCACACATGTCATCGATGTCTTGGAGTGGCTGCATTTCCTGTGCAGCTTTTATCTACCATCTTTTCTTTAGGTCATGAGTTTTATTTTTGGACCTTTGCTTCAGTTGTCTGTAGACCTGCTTTCTATCCTTTTAAGTTTGGTGATGCCTCCAGGTCAGCAATGCCTTACACTTGTGAATTTAATAGCTTCTGGATCTCTCTGTCGTTCTCATTTAAACTAGTTTTGATGCTTCCTGGTAGAGAAACCTAGTGTCTTGTCATAAGTGCTGTTTGTGATGAATGGAGGCTTACAGTATGGAAAGAAACCCTTCAGCTGGTCGTGTCTGTGCTGATCATCTTATCTACTTTAATCCCATTGTGTGGCACTTGACCTGTAACCTTGTTTGGTATGGTGTTCAGAGCCTTATACTTCCAGTCCATCTTCCTCCATTTCTATAACTGCCTTAAATTTTAATGAGTTATATTACTATCACTGACATGCCTTCCCACTGATGCTGCTCCTGCTTGCCCAGTTTTATTACAAAAATTAAGTCCAACACTGCACACTCCCGTAGGACTTCGTCTGCTGGTTTAAAAAGCTCTCCTGGATTCAGTTGAAACAGCTACAAGTTTGCTGATGCCACTACTGTTGTAGGCCAGATCTCGAACAACAATGAGACAGAATACAGGAAAGAGCTAGAGGACTTGGCGGCGTGATGTAAAGATAACAATCTCTCCCTCAATATAAGCAAACCGAAAGAGCTGGTTATTGACTTCCAGAAGCAAGATGGAGGGCACACCCCTGTCCACATCAGTGGTACTGAGGTGGAGACGGTCGACAGCATTAAGTTCATAGGAATGATGGTCACAAACAGTCTGTCCTGGTTCACCCAAATTGATGTTCCAGTCAAGAAAGTATCACAATACCTCTGCTTCCTCAGAGGGCTAAGGAAGTTTGGCATGTCTGAAAAGGCCCTTACTAATATTTTATAGATGCACCATAGAAAGCATTCAATCCGGATGCAATATGGCTTGGTATGGCAACTGCTTTGCCTAGAACCATCAGACCACAGAGTTGTGAACACAGTCCATCAAGCAAGCAAGCCAGTCTTCTATCCATTGACTCCATCCACACTTCCTGCTGCTTTGGGAAGATCGCCAACGTAATCAAAGACCCCTCCCACCCTAGGTATAATCTCTTCCAAACTCTTTCATCAAGCAGAAGGTACAAAAGCTCATACACGTGCACCAACAGACTCAAGAACAGCTGTTATTAGATTTCAGAATGGGACCTACTAAATTTTAAATGTAATGTTGATCTCGCTGTTTGTGCACCTTCTCTGCAGCAATAACATTATATTCTTCACTCTGTTCTGTTACCCTAATGCATCCTAATGTATGATCTTCCTGTACTGCATGCAAAATAAAACTTTTCACAGTACATAGGTACACGTGGCAATAATAAATCAAATCAAACTCTGTACCCTCTGAGCCTTGCACGCTTTTTCTATCCCAGTTGATATTTGGGCTGATGAAGTCCCTTTTTAGTTGCAATAATTTTCTTCAATAGTTGATCAGATTAAATAGAACCTGAGATTAGGCTCTTGCCGCTGAGTTTTTACAAACATGACTCATTGCTCATTTGGCTTAAAAATGTTTAAGAATAAAATGTCCGATTTGCTTCAGTATTGCAAAACTTCACCTTTATTACTTTTACACCTCTGAGATTTGACCCGTATCTGTCCTTCTATCCCTGCCTGACGTGCTATTGTACACTCTCAGTAATGTAGATGCCTCCTGTTTGTTTAATGTTCTACCAGTTTTCTCTCACTGGAGGAACCTTCAGTATATAATTCCTCCTTATTGCAGTAATTGGCTCCTTGTTCAATATTGCAAAGCAAACTCCTCTTTTGCACCATCTCCCCACCCCAGTCTTGCCTGAAGATTCTCTACCACAGAATATTGAAGTGCTGGTCCTGAGGGCAGACAGGGGTTATGGACTTTGTGGTTCCGATGCATGGAATGTTATTGTATTGCTGTTTGTGGATGTTTGCTGTATACAAGTTGGCTGCCTGCCTTACAAGAATGGCACCCTTTTAAAGTACTTCATTGGCTGTAAAGTGCTTTGGGAAATCTGGTGCCATGCAAAGTCATATATAAATGCATTTTTTAAATTTCCTTAATCGAAAATATACATGTAATTTTTAGGTAAATAGTTAGCAAGTAGATGTGGTCAGCAGTTAGTTATTTTCGATTTGCAAATTGTCCTTTCACTTTTGTTAAACTCTGAAGAGGCATGAAGATGTATGCTTGGATACTTTGCTGGTAGGAAGGAGAAATATGTAATCACTTTTATTACTAATTACATTGTAACATACACTGATATGTGAAAGCTTCCCTCCATTATTTAAGTGACCCTATGCAGAACAGACATAAAATTGTCGTAGGAAAATAATTGGAGTAAAGTTGATTTTCTTTTTGTATTACCATCCTATAAAACATTGCTTGAAGTTCCTTAACATTTTGCATTCTTTCATTCTCTTGCAGGCCCTTCCATCAAGCATGATCATTGTAGGAAGCTACAGTGCTGTTATAGCAGCGGTGTTTATTGTCCTTAAAACAGTGAATTATCGGTTGCACCACGCATTAGATGAAGGAGAGATTGTGGATCAAAGCAGCAGTGAGGTAACTGAGAGACATGCAAAAACTGAACAACAGGATGGATCATCGAGGAAAGGTGACAGCAACGGACCAGGGTGAGTGAGTGAATGAATGCAATCATTACATAATACATCAAAGATGCAACTGTTTTCAAAAATATTAACTTAGGTGCCTGATTACTTCGAAAAGTTACTAAAATTTTCCGAGGCAGTGATTCCCTCGTTGCCAGAATTAAAATAAGACTGAGAGATTATCTGAAGTGATTTATTGCAAATTACCAGACTCAATTATCAAGAGTCTATTTTCCTTGGCTGTCTAAATTGTCTGGTAATACTTCAAGTTTGAGAGCTACTAGTTATCGTTGCATTTTTCCGTCGAGTTTTGAGTATAATTGGGTGAAGCATTTCCTCAATGCTTAAAGCTGATTCTGTGATTTGAAACTTACCATTTAGTATTCATACTTTGAATTCCGACATTGGATTATTGCATCAAGTCTACTCACTTCTCATGCGTTATTAAATCTGCGTATGGAAATAAGGGAATCTTTTAAATAGTTTTCAAGCAATTCTTGTATTGCAAGAGATATGACATTTGAAAGTATTCCGTGTGATTCAATATGTTTCATGATGTTGGGCTAGCAGTTTAAAAACTTTGCATTGTTTTGGGAAGGTCATTGTTTGATAAATTTTAGTTTCCTCCATAATTGTGTTGTTTTAGTACGTATGGCACAATAATGCAGTTCTTCTCAGTTTTGTGCAGTAACAAGATGTATGCCAAAATCATTGAGAGCTGATGATTATGGTCACGTTTTAGGCTGAGTACACTTAGAATGATACGCAATAAGAATTAGCTCGACCTGTTTTGTAGGGTTGTGTTCCTGTGGTAATGTGCACCTGTAATTATGGAAAGAAAGAACTTGCATTTATATACGTGTCCTTTGGCTATTACAGGATGCTCAACAGTCAATTAAATACTTTTGAAATGCTGTCACTGTCGTTGTTTAGGCAAACTCTGCAGCCAACTTGTATGTAACTATTGATAGTAGTCAGGCAAATGACTTATAAATATTTTTCCAGCAGTGTTTGTTGAGAGATGAGTGTTGGCCAGGAGATGAACTCTCTTCCACTTTGAATAGCACCGTGGGAATCTTGGTAGTTCACGTCAGATGACAGATGGGTCTTTAGTTTAATGACCATCCAAAAGACAGTGCAACTGACAACAATCTTTCACTTAGTACTGTATTGAAGTGTCAACTTAGAGGTGACCTTGAACCTATAACATTGTGACACACGGGTGAAAATGCTATCACTAAGCCAGAGTGATTGTCAA